AAAACAGCAATTAAATAAATATATTTCAAAATCAAACAAAAGAAATTCAATCAAAAAACACATTTGAGATCAAAACTTTAAAAACAGCAATTAAATAAATATATTTCAAAATCAAACAAAAGAAATTCAATCAAAAAACACATTTGAGATCAAAACTTTAAAAACAGCAATTAAATAAATATATTTCAAAATCAAACAAAAGAAATTCAATCAAAAAACACATTTGAGATCAAAACTTTAAAAACAGCAATTAAATAAATATATTTCAAAATCAAACAAAAGAAATTCAATCAAAAAACACATTTGAGATCAAAACTTTAAAAACAGCAATTAAATAAATATATTTCAAAATCAAACAAAAGAAATTCAATCAAAAAACACATTTGAGATCAAAACTTTAAAAACAGCAACTGAATAAATATCTTTAAAAACTAAAGTATTCTTTACAAAGTCAATTTCCCATTAAAACCCTACAGTTGCAGTAGGCCCAGAAATACACGAGGACTAAAATCATTCTTCATAAATGACCATGCACCATCTCATGATGATTCCAGGTCCCAAGAGCCAGTTTTGGTAGGCCAGGGTCAGAGCATCAAGGTCCCCACCTTTGGCTACCGTCCCGTGTCATGCACCTGACTCGTACAGCCCCTCCTGCACAGGAAGGCAAACCCATGTTGCTCATGTGGGCTGAGCCCAACCAGTCACCAGGAGCTCACGACGAGCCCCTCCCTCAGACCTGGCTCTAGGTTGGGTCCCGCTAACCCACATCCAGGCAAGGGACACCAAGTTCCTTCAATTTGTACATTCATACAAGTATTTTGAACCACTCTTTGTCTGGCCTGTCATATTTTAAAAAAATGCATGGGGAACAATGAACTAATATAACAAACATCATAAACTAAAGAAAATATGGCATTTAGGGGTTGAAATGACAGTAAATTACCCTTTAAAAAGCATGGGGTTTATGATGGGTTATAAGGGGTCCCTGGACCCAAAATGTTTGAGAACCCCTGCTCTAAATCACACATACTGTACATGATCCTATCTGCACCAAAATGGATAACACTGCCTTTGTCAACCTCTGAAGAGGACAATTGGGTTACAATTGAATTTGACTCATCGGCGTCCTCTACACTAATTCTACAGGTATAGCTCCCTTATACATTATCTGATCTGCACCGAATTTTGTGTGCATCGTCAGGGAGACATGCTCAACACATTAATGTGGAAGTTTGATTGTATCACTTTAGCCCTGCCCACTTTTGGCTCTAAATCCCTCATTCATGATTTGAAACAATTCAAGCAGAAACTCTGTAAAAACCCACCAGTTCAATGGATCCTTTGATTTGATTTGATTTGATTTGATTTATTGATTTAACAGGAAAAGATTATTAAAAATCAAGCCTGACTCAGCATAATTGCTGTTTTACAGCAGGTTCCTGTTCTGCAGCACATAAAACACTCAGAAATACAGCATCACAATCACATCATTATACACCATAGACACAAAGATAAACAAGCATACCTAATTTCAGGAAGGCAGCATTTGCAAAATAAGACGTCTAAATATGAGCACAACAAAAAGTGTCCAGCAGATGGCAGACAAGATTCTTCTTAAAGGGCTGTAGTTTTGAAATGGACTTTATGTTTTGAGGAATGTCATTCCATGCTTTAATATAAACATAGAAGAAAGACCTCTGGCCGTAACAGTTTTTTAAAAGTTGGTAATGTCAGTTGTCCTTTTGTAACAGATCTAGTTGAATGACCACTTCCAGAATTTGATTTGGGCAACTTTGTTCAAATGGAACTTGAATGTTAAGCTGTTTTTTATTTAAATAGCTTTTGATTTCAATAAATGACTTCCTATTGCTGTAAATTCAACAAATAAACATTTTCAAATCTTTACAACCTATAAAATGTTTCAAAATTCAGTTGTGCGTAATAATTTGGAACAGTGCTTTTTTAAGTTTTGAATTAAATACTTTGTGAAGTTTTTAATAACATTTGAATTATACTCTAATGGCTAATGACTTGAAATTATGATGGTTGTCATTTGTATTGACTATTTAGGACATCAGAGGAAAAATATTTTGCATAATAATTTGGAACACTGTATAAAGACTTCCTGTAGGAGTGTAAAATGACTTTGATCTGATCTCCTGTAAGGCGCTCAGTGGGAACTGGAGGAGGCAGCGGGAAATGTTCCCACAGCGACACGTCCAGTATGCACACCTTCCCTGTTCGGATGAGGGCTCCAGAGGGCAGCCCCCATGCCCGGACACATCCAAATACCCCCCGGTAAGGTCCAACCATTTACTACTTTCTATAAAATCTGTAATCTTTTGTCTCATAACATTTGTTCTTCCACTCTTCTAATTGTCAAACAACAATCACTGCAAGTGGTTTAGGAGCAGACTTGTGTGTAGATTTGATCTTTGCTCATATTTGTGTCGAAGCAGACGTCAGGTAAAGCACACGGTCTGCAGCGATAACCATGGGATCAGGGCCCCCACCCCAGAGCAGTACCTCACACCCCTGCAGCAGAAGGAGGTGTGTATACGACACCTGCGAGCCAGACTACGAGAAAACGTGGAGAGACTTCAACACAGGTGACTGCATCCTGTCGTGGTTGTGTACGTCGGTCAAAATTAAAAGCAATTCTTCTGAATAAGTTTTCTTTCCTACGTGTTCAGGGACTGTGAAATAGAGGACTTGAGGGCCCAGCTGTACAAGATGCAGGAGGACTGGATTGAGGAGGAGTGTCATCGCGTGGAAGCACAGTTAGCGCTAAAAGAAGCCCGTAAGGAGATCCAGCACCTGCAGGAGGTGGTTGAGTCAGTCAAGTCCAACCTGAACCTCCGCGAGCAAGACCCTCATGATTACAAGCCATACTCAGGGATGCAGGGAGTGAGGTCGGGTGGGAAGTCTCGCTCCTGCGGATGCTCCCCAGCCAGCACGTTGAGCCGCGGCGCCACCTTCACCCGGCGGAGCAGCGAGGTTCTGCAGCTGGAGCGCTGCTCCAACGCCCCCGAGCATGGCGGGGCGGCCCGTCCGGCAGGGCAGACCCACCTGCTCCTGGAGGCCGCGCTCTTATCGGAGCAGCTGCCACAGCAGGACCACCCCTTCCGAGGTGCCCCGCTCACGCCGCACCCTTCCTCGTACGAGAGGCTGTGCAGCGGGGGCGCTGTTCTGCCGATCTCACACTCCTGCCACACGCTCAGCAGCAGCTGCAGGTGCGCCGGACCCGCCTACCTCCCCCACCATCACCTGTTCCTGCACTTACCTCAAGAGGAGSACCCGGGCTCCGCCGCGACTGCTGCCGCTGCAACACCCACCTCTCACGCCAAACCCGTTCCCGTCCCTGCAGCGGAGAAGAAACCGGAGGTCCGCTCTCGGGCCTGCAGCCCCACCATGACCTGGCTGTGTGAGGACAGTAGTGCTCAGGAGCTGAGCGTCATTTCTTTCACAAAAACAGACCCSGTCCCCAAAGAGATGCAGCCCATCCCAGCGTCGTTGCCTCCTCTGTCCCCAACAGAACACTCGTACAGTGCTGAACCATTACCAACGCAACCCCACACCTGTCAGCCCCGACCTGTAGATCCACTTCCTGTCAGACAGGATGCCACGCTTGTGATAATAGACGAGAACAGCTTGGAGGAAAGCGAAGCGGGGCCTTCCCCCGAGCCGTGCCACTGGAGCCGCTACTTCCTCGTGGATCTGCTGGCTCTGGCGATGCCCGTGGTCCCGACCATGGCGTGGCTGTGTCACGGAGCGCCGCAGGAGGTCATGCCTGTGTACCACATCGGCTCCCTGCTGAGAGGCTGCTGCGCCGTCGCCCTCCACTCACTCCGACGGCAGGGCGCGGGCAGGGGGCGCCGGCCCACCAGCGTGAACGGAACCGCTCCCATCTGACACTTCAAATGTACAAACCCAGCTCTGAGCCTCTGCAGTGCTGACTCGGCACTTTGATCTCAGCCATGTGTTCTCCTCCTACAGAATTATTATTAGTATTTTTTTTAGATATTACATWATGCCCCTGTGTGTCTGCGGCCATCCATTGCCTTAGAAAAAAAGAACAGGAATTAGCTGTACTGCTTTCATTTTTCAGTCATTCATCCTGCTCTCGCCTGGAGTTTTAGTGGTTCCTATTATTACTCCGACGTGCATGTGAAGCACAATCTGGAGTCTCTTGCTTGCATTAAAAAGGCACCTTTTGCAAGTTTTTATGAGCAATTCTTGGACAAAAGAAATGTTACCATTTAACCAAAAAAAAGCTAATTTGTCTAAAGTTAAATACTTCTYGTTTTCTATGAACAGATCTGGGATTATTAAAAACTGTTACAGTTCTGGTCAGAAATTTACATACACTCATAAAGATAATTCATAGTTTGGGGATTTAAATTGTTTATTTTTTCTGTTCTTTATGTTTGGTCTGCAATGATTGTTTTAACATATAACCAATTATATGTGAAACATAAAATATTGGTGCACAAGTTTCAAGTCAAAATTATACATACTTAGCTAATAGTCAGTTAAAAGTCTCTTAAAGGGATCCCCGATTAGTTGTAACATTCGACTTTATATGATAAACATATACTTTAACTGTAAAATAAAGACTGTAAAAATACTGTAGGATGTTTAGTTTTTATAATTTTTAAACTAAAAGTATAAAAATATATTACACGGACCCCCGTCCATGTAATATATATGAGGCACACTTATATCCATCAAGCTTCTGGTATTTGATCTATCTTTTTGGCAGAAAGGAAAGAGTTCATTGAAACTGATTAACTCTCGGGCACAGACTCATCTTTTAAACATGGTGCATAAATTTTCAATAAGGTTAAGGGTGGTGGGGTTTGGGCAGTTTGTTCCAGAAGCTTAATGTCAGCAGATTTGTCCGATCATCCTGTTCTGATGTAAGTTTGGTGTCCTGTTGGACCTCGTCGTGTTCAATTTTCAAACAACCAGCCAGCTGTTGATTTAGTGGAGAATGTGGAGGTAGTCCTCCTCCTTGGTTATTCCATCCATTTAGTGCACCAGTACATGATGCTACCACCACCGTGTTWGACAGAAAACCTCACTTCAGCTGCACCAACAGCTACTTGTACATTTCATCTGAACACATCGGTCCACCCGAGCAGCTGCAAACTCAAAGCTCGAAGGTCCTTGGAGTTGCTCAGGGTCGGCATGCTATCTGTTCGTGGTGACGTAAAACTGGCTTCAGTCTGGACAGAGACACTGGCCTTCAGCAGTTCCTTATTAACGACAGCCCTTATAATTCCTGAACATCCAAACTAATTTCCTTTTACCTGATGGTGACAGATGAGTATAAATCATTTTAATAAGTTGTGTCAAACCAATTCTTTTTATACTGGCAAATTCCAGCTCTAGTTAATCATGATCACTAAAAACAAATTAAGACAACCTAGAGCTGGACCACATGATGAACAATTTAGATGAATGTATAATTTAGGTGTGTATGTATAAATTTGACCCTCTTTGACTTAGAAAAATAAAACTCAAACTAATCATTAAATATTCAAATGAAAAGGACCGTTTGAGTGTATGTAAACTTCTGACCCCAGCTGTAGTTACAGTCAGCAGTTTTCTGTCATTATACTGAGCACAGTGGGTGTAAGCACTAAGAAAAGACAGGCATTCTTTTTTAGGATTTGTTTCATCAAATGCTTCATGTTTAAATCTRAAAAAAAGAGCATTTAGAATCCATACTGACTGATCATTTTAATATCCGTATATTTTACCATTAAAAACCAGTTTGAAACCAGCATGGACTTTTTTTTGTGAACATTTACCCTAAAAACAAGTGTTTCTATAAAACAGAATAAAATAAAAATCCAGATCCAAACTAAAATATAAGATTATCTGAAGGTCCAATCATGGTGACAGAGAGACTGTTGTGTATTTTCAAAGGATATAATCGTGTATTTCTAAAGCAGCTATGCAAGACAGACTTACCATTTTTCTCAGTAAATATATTATTAGAGGTGCTAATGACATGAAATTTTCACCAGATGTTGGTAACAACCCAAGTGATCCATACATAC